ATTTTTTGCAAAAGCTCTTTTGTTTTTCCTTGGATAATTTCTCCAGACATGTTCACTTTATCTTGCCTTTGAAGAAACCACTCATACAAAACTTTCTCTAAATCAGGGTATTTTGCCGATTTGTGCCTTTTAACATCTCTATTTTTCATCTCATTTGACAAATATTCCAACGCCCTTTTGAGAGTGTTCGATATTGTTGATTGACTAATAGTCAAATCAAACTTTTGTTGCACCCATGCTTGCATATCTTTTTGGCTAATAGTTGGATTCTCTTTCTTATACTCACATATTGCACTCTTCATTTTATCGGTTAAAGTTGGTATTTTTACTCCTTTCAAATGATGAGAAGACAAAGGGAAACAAAATATTGTATGTGCTTGGAATATGTCTTCCAAACATCTAGCTTTTATAGGTAAAGACTAAACCTTTTCATTTGCTGTGTACGTGAACTTAGTTTTTAGAGATATTAAATTTCACTAAAACTTTTGAGCTTCCCTATATTCAAATAATACTTTGATTAGTGTCTTTTGATTTTTCTTACCACATACAATGTACATATTTTATATTGAAAAGTTCTCTCTAAAGTAATAAATATTTATTTATCGATAAATGAATTTATTCATTTATTGATAAATAAATAACCTCGCTAAATGAATATTTTTTTCCGATCCCGAGGGTATTACTTTATCGAGGTTTAACTGTACTCTTGTCAAGAAATGTTGCCAAAAGGCATAAGATGGAACTGAAATTACGAAATGGTTTTGTATATACTTGTTCCCCCAGCACACTTTTAGGATATAACACGTGTTAGTCATCCCCATCTATGTACAGAACAATAGTCCTTTTGTTCCCAATAGTTTGAGCTGTAGGTGGCATAAACATCAACTGCTGGAAGTTACTGAGTTGGAGTGGATGCACGGGGGTTGAAAGATGAATTAGACAGGTTCGTTCCAATGGTCATTGGTTTAAGTATGTTATCAGGGCAACTTCACACAGTTAGGAAGTCTATACAAGATGCCAATGTGCAAGAATTAAGTCGAACACTGAGATAATTATACATAGATGACGATTGAATTGGATTTTGAACAAGGCACAAACCGTAGGGTACCATGTCAAGCCACAAGTCTGAGGAGCCATAGCCTCACATAGAAATTGTGTAAAAACCAGTACGTAAAAAAATGATTACAGCAGCAAGTAAATATAATATCTTCATCTTTCCAATGCCGGTGAAAACTAAAAACATATTTCTATCAGAGAGTGAATCAAGTAACATCGGTTACAGAATAACTTTATGTGTTGAGAGAACATAATGGAGATTGAAGAGCTGCTTCAGAATTAAATTCTACACAGCCATGAAGAACACGATGTAATCTAGTAGTTAATTACTATCTTTTACAATCAATGCTGTAATGGAATGAGACTACATGCATGTAATGAACATGCGACAACTTGGATATATGTTTCAAGTTTTAGGCTTCTTGTGGGAGACACTATCTTCAGGCTCGGACTTGCGCTTCATATTCAAGAAGTGCTCAACCTGAAAGGAAAACAATTAAGCAGAGGGAGCAAAAGATCTAGAGTGAACGAGGTTATCTTCCCAGCTAGCGACTTCAACCTCGTGAAAAGAAAATAACTAACTCGAGAATCCTCAAAATCTTGTAAACAAGTTACCTTTTTATCTCCAAGCATGGGGGTCAAGCCTCCAGTGAAGTCCTTCTCAACAGTAGCAAATCCGCTTCTGGGATCGCTAGTTTGCCTGAAATCATAAAATTTAGAAGCCAAGGGAAGTGATGACAAATTCAAAACAATGGCATAGCTCATCTTAAAGAGATCAACTGCATTAAGAACACAACACATTTCCCCGTTCATAAAATGCAGCACCATTGTTCCAAGAAATTGACTCCTTTCCAGCAAATAACAAATGGTTTGGTTGGTATAATTGATTACCAAGCACACACAAATACATGTGCAGTGCAAAATACAAGCACACGACTTGCAAAACAACAGATAATTCTATGGCATTCAAATCTCATCTGTTTTTCGTAATTATGTTTTTAACTTTATTCATTATTCCTTAGAAGATTTAAGGCTAATTAGCACAAAACATCCCTACCTTTGGGGTGGATTTCGAAAACCGTCCCTACCTTTCATTTCGTGCGTAGGACGTCCTTACCTTCAATATTTCTGTGCACCGGACGTCCTTTTCACTTCTTTTTGACGATTTTACCCTTCATTCAAGTAAAACAAAAAGAAAAGAAAAGAAAAACTAAAGAATTAATTGCAACTATAACCCCGAATTTTTAAAACCTACTTTTCAGTCACAAGATACTAATTTTCTCATCCACAACCACTTCCAACTGTTGGTGGCCAAAAAAATTGGCCAAATCCAAAATTCTTCTAATTGGCTGACGAATCGAATCATTTGATCCATTACCCATAGTATTAGCAACTTTAATTGAATGTTGGTGGTTGCAATTTGTTGATTGGGGCAGTGGGTGAACAGAAATCAAAAAATGGA